TGGTAGAGCGCTAGCCTTGAGCTGAAGAGCTGAGGGACAGTGCCCAGGCCCAGAGGCCAGGCCCCACGACTTACCAAAAAAAATTTTTTTTTTCATCTTCAAACTTCCATCCCATAGGACACAAATATCTGAAGAAAAAAAGTCTAATAAATAGTTTCAGTTACTCATATTTAAGCTCAAAGTACTTCACTGTTTAAAGATTTCTATTCTGCCAGGCACTGGTGGCTTATACATGTAATCCTAGCTACTCAATATGCTGAAATTGAGACTCATTTCCAGTTAACTACCAGGAAACCAGATGGTGCTGTGGCTCAAGTGGTAGAGCACTAGCCTTGACCAAAAAAAAAAAAAAAAGCCTATAAAAAGCTCTAAGTACAAAACATTTTAGAACAATAATAACCCCAAGTCTTATAGTAATATCCAGTCCCAAAAAATACAATCTAATAAACTTTACATGTGACAGAGGTTTAGAGTTCATAATCCTTAAAAACTTCTGTCATGGAAAACGCATTTACTGGTTAAACTTCATATACATGGCTGCAAGCAAGAGTGAAATACATGTACAGCTTAAGAATGCGGTGGCTAGAGCCAAGAGCACTGGTGGCACACACCAACTACTTGAGAGGGTATAACAGGGAGGATCATGGTTGAAGGCTAGCCCAAGCAAAATGTTCTCAAGACCCCTCTTTCGACAAGAGCTGGTCATTCTAGCTTCCTGGGAAGTAGAAATGGGTGAAAGTGGCCCCAGAGTCCCAAGCAGTTAGCCAAACCCTATCTCAAAAATAACCAATGCAAAAAAAGGGCTCAAGGCTTGGCTCAGCACAGAGTACCTGTCTGCAGAGTGAAAGCCCCCATTAGCACCACACACACACACACAGAAAATGCTGGGGGGAGAATGTGGTGACTAGAAACAAATTCTACAATAAAAACAATTTCAAATTAACACATTTTTAAAAAGAAATCCTACTGTAATCAAATAATTCTTCAAGAAGTCAACTTTGTCCAAAGTGGTGGCCTACTGCAGCAGATTTTTGAGTCTTAAAAAATAAAATCAAGCCGGGCCTGGGGTGGCTCACACCTGTAAACCTAGCTACTAAGGAGGCTGAGATCTGAGGGTCATGGTTAAAAGCCAGCCCGGGAAGTACTTGAGATTCTTATCTCCAATAAACTACCAGAAAAGCAGAAATGGTGCTGTGGCTCAAGTGGAAGAGGGCTAGCCTTGAGCTGAAGAGCTGAGGGACAGTGCCCAGGCCCAGAGTTTAAGCTCCAGGACAGATAAATCGATTAATCAATCAATCAGGTCTGGGAATGTGGCCTAGTGGCACAGTGCTTGCCTTGCGTGCATGAGGCCCTGGGTTCGATTCCTCAGCACTACATAAACAGAAAAAGACGGAAGTGGAAGCGGTGCTGCGACTCAAGTGGTAAAGTGCTAGCCTAGCTGAGGGGACAGCGCCCAGGCCTAGAGTTCAAGCCCCACGACCGGCAAAAAAAAAAAAAAGGAAAAAAAATAAAAGAAAAAGTAACCCAGGAAATATGAACAAGTTTTTTAAATAAAATTAAGTTTATCTTTAAGTACGGAATGAAGACAGCTTTGGCTCAGCCCTCCTCTACACCTAAGGATAATCAACTTGAGGATAGTCTATTTTGATGTGCTAAAATGATCTCTTTAAAACTGAACACCAAACTATAATTAGTCATTGTTGGTGGGAACAGCAGAATGCAGAGATTTAAAAAAAAAAAAAAAAGTTTCTCTTGGGAGCGAGGGAAGGAGTGACATTGTCCAAAAATAAATGTACTCTTTACCTGACTTATGTAACTGTAACCCCTCTGTACATCACCGTTACGATAACAATAAAAAAAAGTTTGACGCCAAAATGGGGGGGAAAAAAAAACTTGTTCTCACCTAAACTGTAACTACTTTATAAGACCTAAAGCGTATGACAGTGAAAAGCCACAAACGTCTTCCAATCAAACTACTCGTAAAGTACAATCTGTAAACGAGCCGGGCAGCCCAGCTCAGCTCTAACTGAACCTTCTTCCTGCTGCAGCCGCCGCGAGTGGGGACGTGCGCACCACCCGTGGACTTGTCCAAACAACTCCGGGGTGGAGGGGTGGGGAGGAGGGCCCACGCCGGCGCCGCGGCGGAATCCACACAGGTTGGCCAGAACACGGGGCGGGGAGGAAGGATAGCACAAAGCCGTGAACTCGCCCTTCCAGCCCCACGGCTCGGAAAGCCCTTTCCCAAGAGATGAAGACCTCGCTAATCGCTTAAGCCCCGCGGACCGAGGCCCGCGTCGCCCCCCCCC